CTTTGGTTTTATTTCGTTCCATCTTTGTAGAAGCCGAGAATCTGGAGTGCAAAAGGCTCGGTTGTTTCTTTCCATGTTTGTAATTTTGGATCTTGGAGATGATGCGAGGAATGGCATGCGCACTGTGCAAAAATAAATTGACTGTGCATCTAAAGAAGGTTCAAAAGATAAAGCGTCTGAATCTTTAGGCATTCTTTTCCCCCCTCTCGTCTTTTCAATTCCTCTGCTGCATCTTTATCTGCGTGACATGATATTGTCATGATTTTGTGTTAAGTCGCCTCACAATCACCTCAAAAGCAGCAAAACTGTTGTTTAAGAAAGAAACATTTTGGCAAAGCACAAAAACTTTGAAAAATGCCGCTGCTCGAACTAGCATAAGACAAAGCAGTTCAAATTTAAACCTGCGAATTATCTCTGGTTTGGTGCGCCCGGCTTCTCCCGTTCCGATGGATTTGTCGTGTCCATTGCAACAGTTTAAGCGAGCCCTTTATAAATCTCTCTTCGCGTTGCGTTGTTTTTGTGCAGTGGTGAACTGAACGCGGCGGCGAAGGCGCGAGAGGCGAGCCGGGAGCAGAGAGCAGCAGCCATGGACAGCGGCAGAGCGTCGGTGTCGGTGTCCGACGAGAGCTCGGAGGTGGCGGCGGGGGAGCACGGCGGGTGCCTGTCGGCGTCGACGCGGAGCCTCGTCGACGCGGCGGCCGGCAACCTGAGCCGCACCGTCTCCGACGTGTCGACGTCCTTCTCGGAGCATTGCAGCAGCGTTGACCACAGCGGCCCGTTCGAGCCGGCCAAGCTGATCGGCCGGTCGCCGGCGGCGGCGCTCAGCCGGCTCAGCATGAAGCCCCGCGCCGACGTGCTGGACCGGCGATCCACCGACGACGGTACGTACCTAGGCGCGACGCCGGTTCTTGGGTGCAGATCGATCTCCGTGTAGCCGTCGTTAGTTAAATGCTAATGTGAACTCGATTCCGCATATGTGTGATGTGCAGAGATGGAGCTGGTGAAGGAGAGGTTCTCGAAGCTTCTGCTCGGCGAGGACATGTCCGGCGGCGGCAAGGGCGTCTGCACCGCCGTGGCCATCTCCAACGCCATCACCAACCTCTACGGTACGCACGCACGAACGCAAGGCGACCTATAAGCCATTGACGTTTCCTGTTCCGGCGTCCTGACCGTTCCATGGATCGTTGTCGCAGCGACGGTGTTCGGGAACTGCCACAAGCTGGAGCCGCTGCCGGCGGGGAAGAAGGGGATGTGGAGGAGGGAGATGGACTGCCTCCTCTCCGTCTGCGACTACATCGTCGAGTTCTTCCCGTCCACGCAGACGCTGCCCGACGGGACCAAAGTCGAGGTGCTGCAATTGCTCTGCATTTCATCCATTTATTAGTCTGTTCTCTGCAAGATCCTGTCCTGTTACAAGAACTTCATGCTCTGCTTTTCGTCGACACGGCTTATCATTCAGAGATCATTCCATCCATTCGTGCAGGTCATGGCGACCCGGCCAAGATCGGACATTTACATCAACCTCCCCGCGCTGGAGAAGCTCGATGCCATGCTCATCGTAAGATCAGATCTCAGCTTCGAAGACATTGATTGATTTTACAACTTGTTCTGCTTGTTGCGTCAATCGGTGAACTAAACATTAAACTCGTGCATTTGCGCAGGAGATACTGGACAGCTTCCAGGAGGCGGAGTTCTGGTACGCGGACGCCGGGACGAGGTCGTTCGCCTCCGTCACGTCGACGTCGTCGACCATGTCGTCGTCGTTCCGCAAGTCGATGCACCGGAACGAGGAGAAGTGGTGGCTTCCGGTGCCCTGCGTCCCCGACGCCGGCATCTCGGAGAAGACGCGCAAGGACCTGCAGCAGAAGCGCGACTGCGCCAACCAGATCCACAAGGCCGCCGTCGCCATCAACAGCGGCGTCCTCAGCGACATGGAGGTGCCCGACACCTTCATGGCCGTGCTCCCAAAGGTACAAAACACATGCCAATGGAACAGTAATACTACTTGTTACTTGCATTCATCTGTCTCTCTTCTCTCTTCTCTTGCTGAAATAATAGTTCATGGATCGCAGAGTGGGAGGGCGAGCGTGGGGGACTCGGTGTACCGCACCATGCTCGGCGCGGACAAGTTCTCGCCGGACTACCTGCTCGACAAGCTCGACATCTCGTCGGAGCACGACGCGCTGGCGATGGCGGACCGGGTGGAGGCGGCCATGTACGTGTGGCGGCGCAAGGCGAGCGCCAGCCACGGCAAGGCCCGGTGGAGCAAGGTCAAGGAGCTCACGGCGGACGACGACGACAAGAACGTGGCCCTGGCCAACCGGGCCGAGAGCCTCCTGCTCTGCCTCAAGCACCGGTTCCCGGGCCTGTCGCAGACCACACTTGACACCAGCAAGATCCAGTACAACAAGGTAATTTGCACAATACTATCACATTGCCATCTCATATTCTTGTCACCAAAGAAAACAAAATTCATGTGTTCCTGGCAGAGTAATCCTGTATGTATTGCAAGTACTACGATTTCTTATCTGATTGTTTGAACCAATACTTTTTGCAGGACGTTGGGCAAGCCATCTTGGAGAGCTACTCAAGGGTGTTGGAGAGCTTGGCGTTCAACATGGTTTCATGGATCGACGATGTTTTATTCGTTGATAAATCGACTAGAAGTAAGTGAGTGACAACCTGATCAGTTCTTCAGTCTGAACTGAAGCTTCCCAGCAAAGGGTTTTAGATCACTCTGTTGGTGAAGTTGCAAGAGTAAAATGACAGTAGAGGCAATAGGGTGGTTTTGCTGACATAGAGGAAATGTAAGCTTTAGCTTGCAGGGGTCGTCTGACCAACAACGAATGTACGAATGACGTTATGAAGTTTTTTTCCCCCGTTTATGTTTTGTTATCTGCTCCTTTCATTTTGTGCTCTTCCTAGCATACCAGAGCATACATCAAACAGGTTACTACAAATTATTTCTTAGTGCAAACACATCAAAAAGCTTCTAACAAAGTTTCAAAATTGAAAATGAAAGTTACCAATAATATGGGATCCGGGACATTTACTGTATCATGCAGAAAGTTACTCCTTGCGAATGCCCCAGCAACAAGGCAGGAAGAGGGAAAAAAAAAAGGGAGATCAAATTCATAGTGAGGAATAGGGCTGGGCGCGGTTAACCGCTTAACCGCAAACCGAACCGAACCGATTTAACCGAAATTTGCGGTTAATTCGGTGATCGGTTATCGGTGCGGTTATCATTTTTCCACTGTTCGGTGATCGGTTTGCAGTGCGGTTTTGGGCTGGTATTAACCGAACAACCGAATTACCCGAAAAGCAGCCCAACAAGCTGCAACATGGCAACAGCCCACCGGCCCAAATCTGATCCCCACCGGCCCACTTAACCAAACCCTAACCAATCCTCCCCAGTTCGCCAGGCCCCACGCGCCGCCCCTCCCACTCCTCCTCCCCAACTCTCGCGCCGCCCCTTTGCCTCCTCCCCTCGCGTGCGACTCCCGACCCTCTTCCTCCTCCCATGGCGCGCAGGCGCTGCCCCTCTTCCTCCTCCCCTGGCGCGCCTGTCTCGGTTCGTCCTCCCGACGGTGCAGTGGCGGCGCCTGTGCCGGTCCCTCCTCCCGACGCGCGCCGCGCAGCAGCGCCTCCCCTCCTCTCATGGCGCGGTGGCGGCGCCCGTCGCAGTCCCTCCTCCTATGGCGCGTTGCGCGGCCGCGGCGCCGCTCCATCTGAAGCGCGGCGTGGTAACGCCACCCCTCCCTTTCCTCTTTCTTGCACAGCGGCTGTGCTGCTTGATTTCCTCTGCGGTTTTTGCGGTTAACCGCAAAACCGCACCGAAATAACCGCAACCGAACAACGCGGTTATTGAAATTTTTGGTACCAAATCGGTTTTCATTTCTCATTAACCGAACTTCTTCTTAGCCGAATTAACCGAACCGTTTTAACAAGATTAACCGAATGCCCAGCCCTTGAGGAAGGTGGTGAACGGTTCTTGCCCATGAGGACTTTGAATCAGGCTCGCTTGCGAAAGGGCATGTAGTCTAGTGGTTATAAAAGCGTCAGCATCATCTTAGGTCTTGGGTTCTTGACTCTAACGAATTTTTTAAGATTTAACGGCATTGTACTTTCAGTGGTAGGCGATGCTCCCGTCGACAGCGAGACGTTGGTGGTGACTTCGTCAATCTCAAAGATTTACCTGTTTAGTTTTCGAAGATGCGGGTAAGGTTTGCGTGCATGTGTTCATAAAGGTGAGTGCGCGTGTGTTGTGACTCGTGAGTGTCTGAGTTGTACGCTGTATTGAAAAAAAAAAATCCAGACTCGCTTAAAGTGAGTGAAACATAGAAAATCACGTAACATAGCGCACTAGCAGAGCTTCCTTGAGTTCAACCTGGGCCTTGCCCCCCACCCTCAGCATTTGATCAATTTCTATACTTATCGATAATATTTGATCCAATTAACTAACTAATCAATTAAGTATGGATATTCATGCTACCCCCCCCCCCCCCCCCCCCCCAAAAAAAATCTGCAAAATGAGATCAGATACGGATTTTTCTGAATATTTTAAATTAAGTTATATTTTTTTGCCAATATTTTGAATATACTACATCGACTTTCATTTGTAACGCGCCAATATCTTATGAGTATTAGATCAATAATTTTAGTGAAACTATTGAACATATTGTTTCAAACTAATATTTACAGAATTTGGTGGGCCGACTTGGACAAAAAATGTTCTGATTTGGTGGCCTATATGAGACTGATCGATAAATAGACTCTTGTAAGCAGTGATGTCTAAATGGGCCGGCTAAACAGGCGGGCACAAAGCACTATTTTTTTGGCCTAGCCAAAACACGCTTGACATATGACACGATTAATTTAGGTCCATGCCCGCCAGTTAGCCCATGTGTGTCGTGCCATGGGCTATGAGTCCAGCCCAACAACGGGTGGCACCGCATAGCACTATATTAAAGATAATATAATGGTCCTTATTAAACACAAGTGGTGAAGTGGTCTAGTGATAAGACACTAGCCTTCAAAGCTTGAGGTCATGGTTCAAACCCTTATCTTATCTTATTTTTGGTCTGGTTTCAACGCTATTGAGACGAAAGAATGATAATGGGTTGCAGTGCACGCAGGCTTAATGGTCCGGCTCGGCCTAGGCACGAAAAGCCTTAACATGCCGTGCCATAAGGGAGGAGTGTTGTTCAGGGAAGCCAAAAGCTTAGTGTCATTGAATTTCAATAGTGTGGTGTTTTCTTATGCTCCCAGATCTTGTAATGAACGTGCTCATGAACTGGCTCGTTATGGTTTGAGTAGGGACCCGGAACAGCCTAGTATTTGGCTGGATCCCCTCCCTGATTTTGTATTAGAATTGGTGACCCGTGACTCTTTTGGGTCTGCTGTTGATGAATAAAACTGAGACGAGCTTGAGTATCAAAAAAAAAACAACTACAAGGTAAAATTTATATATCTTATATAGATGTAACCCACTAAAAATCATTTACTCCTATAAAGTTGAACTCTCATGAGGCCACATCATCCGAATTATTTCATTCGTTGGATCACCGTAGTCAGCACATCTTGACCGTCACTTTCCTCCTGTTGTGCCCCTCCTTCCCGCACTCTTCCTCCTCTCCCCATTATTGTCTCCTTTTCTCAGTGCCTCACACCTATCACTAATGGCTGTAGAGAGAGAGGCTGCCGATTAATAGCTCTATAATGGCATTAATCCTGCACCAATTACACAAGTTGCAAATCTAAGCGTGACATTCAATCCCGCCCCTGCTTTTTACATGCCCTTCCTTGCCTCA